TGTAATTCCCTGGGTTGATTTACTGTTGATTAGACTGCGGAAGATCCGACAGTAGCTTGGAATCTCTTAAGCTGACCAAGCCCTCTCAGTCTAACTACCCGGCAGACGACTAGTCTTCACCGGGATAGAAAGCTGAAGCAGTAAGCACAGAACTCCACTACTGGAATTGAGTTCCAGTACAAAGCAGTAAATTGGCTAACTCTCGTATAGCCAATCTCCTAGTATCGAATGAAGAAGCTCTAACAACCTAATCAGATTCTATCTATCTCAGGTTGCAGCAGAAATTGAGAAAAGCTGATCAGACTCCAATCAATTCAATAAACATGCATCATTCGATTAAAATCAAACAATAATATCATCCCAAGTCATTACAATCAAATCCCTAACACAAGGAACTAGGGTTCTTCATACCCAAGTGAGAGAAAGGTTCTACTCCATAGAGAGAGAAAGGAAAACAGAAATCAGAGTAGTCATACTCATAAAGATGAGGAAAATCTGCTCTGGGATGTCAATCTTCACTCCTAGGGACGCAATCTGGGCTTCAATGATGAGAAATCCACTCCAAAATAGCTCCTAGGGTTTGTTCTTCGCTCTTTCTCTCTCTAAAACTCTGTTTTTGCTCCAGAAAATCGAATTCTCTCACTTTTGGCTCGGAATAGGCTCTAAAACCAGAATTTCCCGACTCGCACGGCCAGGCCACACGGCCGTGTGGCTCACCACTTTGCCCGTGCGAGTCAAAACGCGGTGCATCAATTAGTCGACCTTCAGCCATCTCACACGGTCAGGGTTGCACGGCCGTGTGAGGAATCCAGCCTGCCCGTGCTTGGCCTCGGCAAATATCACACGGCCAGAATTGCACTTAGCACGACCGTGTGAAGTTCATGGGTTGCCCGTGCGGCTTCCTTGACACCTCGTCACGCGTCCGATCTTCGTCCAATCGACCCCAGACTCGCTCCCAAGCCTCCATTCACGTACTAGGACATCAAATATCACAAACAAGCACAACCCAGCGTGAAATCGGCCTAAAACACGAGAATCAACACCTCAAACGGTGTAAGAACGAGGGTAAAAACATGTGTAAATAACGGTCTATCACCTACACAACTAAAGGAACTTGAATGTGTTTGTCTAGTTGATTTTTAATTTCACTCTTTTCTAAATGATGACGCTTGGGTAAGTCTCCCTAATCTTCCCTCTTAGCCTACTTTAAGCTACTGCGCTGGGTAATGAGTTATAGGGTTAGACGGGTATGCGCCAGCTGGGGATTTTAGGTTAGATGTGTGAATGGGGGCCTATAGTGGTTGAGGCGACCGAACCCCTGCTATAGGTAGCCTTCCTAGATGGAACCCAGGATGAAACCTCGGTGTGGATGGTGGATAGTGTCCATTGAAATGAGCCATAAGTTTAAAGCCCCATATACGATAGCCTAGATCGAGGTGACTAAAACATGGGTTTAGGGGAGGCGTACTCAGAGGCGTGTGGATAATGACGAAGGCCCATAGAAAAGAGCTCACTCACCACATCTGATAACCCTAAGTATCTATACATGCACAGTATCCCTAAGCTAGGGGGAGGATTAGTTCCCCGAAGTACCTATTTTTAGCTTTGATCAACTTCTAGACTAGTATTTCCTCATATCCTCCACTCAAAACCTCAAAAACCGATTACCTAATCAACAACAAGGTGAGAAGTAGGCTAGGGTATCAGGACCCGAGCAGAATACGACCTTGATTACTACTATACGACAATGTCGTCCTAGGTTAAACTTGGCTTAGGATGGGATAGTTGTTGATACGTGCAAACCACTAAAAATAACATGCACAGATTCAAGTGATCAGGATTCCTCCGTCAATCATCCGGATGCTGGTTTTCTTTCTAGTCTTTTTATTAAGAAAATATTTACAAACTTGTTGAGTCATCATTTAGATTGCTTCAGTTGAGCGGTAAACTAGATCCTCATCTTTCTTTCCGTTCTTTTGATGACGAAAATATTTACAAACTTTCTCAAGAGTTTAGTCTTGAGGCTTTGAAGGCTATGAGATGCATTCTTTGGAGAATGAGCTACGATATTATGCCACTTGTGTGAGGAAGATGAAGTTTCTTCCATTTGAAAATTACTAGAGAAGCTGGCGAAAACTAGGATCGACGCACTATACAAATTGATTCGTTGATTGATTCGTCTAGTATTGACCATGCCCGTTTCAACGACCACCACACATAGCACATTTTTAGCAATGATTCTGAAAACTGATTTGCACAACAAAATGAGCGATTATTTTCTCGTTGATTGTTTAGCTATCTTTTGTATAGAGAAAATAGGCTATTAGTATAGCTGCAGATTCTATTATTGATGGATTCGCTAAATCAAAATACTTTCGTGTTCAGTTGATATTGTAATGAAAACTATAGTTGTTATCGTAATGACTGGTATACTCCAGGAGTATAGTATACTTTTTTTTATTTGATAACCCAAGAACATCAGCAACCCACATGCCACATGAGTGACAGCGGAGCCTACTAAACCTGGGGGTACCTGCATACTAACCATCAAGGACTTTGTCCCGGCGCAGTGCCCGACGTTGTGCTACCATTATCGGGGAGACTTCGTCTCCTGTACCAAGGGTAGGGCTGCAAATGAGCCGAGTCGAGTCGGGTTTTACCCCAGCTTGAGCTCGGCTCGTTTATAAACGAGTCGAGCTCGAGCTCAGCTCGTTTATTAACGAGCCGAGTCGAGTCAAGCTCGAGCTAGCTTGTTTATTAAAATCTTAACTTTTATTTGGTACTTCATTTTGTATATCATGATACATATGATTTATTTTGTTAGTTAATCTCATCTTATACTTTATACTTTGTTGGTATCATATATCGTTTAGTTTATAAATTTTTAACTACTCCAAATCATGTTATTTCATTGTATCGAAGCAATCTATGATGCATAATTTCTTTTTAAAGTAGAAAATAAGATATATTTGCTCACATACTCAACGTGCAAAACTTTATATATGGTGAGATACATAAATTAACAACCATATGAATTAAAATCATAAGATATAGATTGATTCGTCCATAAGTTGGTAATCGAGTTGGCTCTCTAGCCACATGTTAAGACATATCATGAGCTCTAAACGAGCCAGCTCACGAGTTTAGCTCAACAAGCCACCGAGTCGAGCTAGCTTGCGAGCTTCACGAACTGAACAAAGGTGAGCTCGTGTTCGGCTCGTTTATTAACGAGCCGAGTTTCGAACGAGCTTTTCTCGAGTCGAACGCCGAGCCGCTCGGCTCATTTGCAGCCCTAACCAAGGGTGCCTCCGGGAACACCAAGAAGGTGGTACTGGGATTCGAACCTGGGACCTTGTCACATCCCAAACTCGAAACCCAACCCTTTACCAACTAAGCTGTCTTACCATCGGCCTAGGAGTATAGTATACTCCAAGTGATCTGGTCGTTAGATCTACTTTTTTTTTTTACCTCCGACCAATCTCAACGGTCAATTAATATTTTTTATTAAATTGAACTTCTGGTTTGAGTTTAGAGAATCAGGGACTGGGGTTTATCCATTAGAAGTTAGAGTATAATATCATACTACAAAATCGATTTAATTCATGGTCTAAATAGAGATATCTCGATAAAAGTACCTGAAGTATAGTATACTCCAAAATTACACCAGTCTGACTCTTCTATAATTACTATTTCAATCTCAAATCTCTGTTCATTATAATGGCTTTTTATAATGTAGTATTAAAAAGTTAAATGTTTTACCTGGTTAAGAAATTAATGGGTTGGGTTTTTCCACCTACCGACACTTATAAAGTAAAATGATATAATTTTGTATCTAACTGGAATTATATGAATAGTTTTTTAATGTTATTAGGTTTTATGAAAATATAATTCTCTTAATATGGATAACTTATAGATGTTAGTAATATTTATTGAGATGTATTTGTAGGAAAAATTTCTATAACATTACGACAATGAGTGCTACAAAAATGTAAGATTATGTTTTGTGAACCCATGGCCGTACTCATGAATTCACTGGTAACCGTTAGGTTGGATTTTCACTTCTAAAACCTAATAGGTGTTTTATAGAATTTTTTAGTGGAGGCACCCATTAAATTGAGTTTGAATTTAGAGAAACCAAACACATTGTCATGCGAACAGATCTCTTTCTAAACCTATCTTAATATGAGTTGTGTTTACTGCATGATTACATAAATGGGAGGGTAACAAGTTTTAGTCGACAAGACAACTTTCAGACCATTCCAATAGCTTGCCACTGTACAAATTATAAAAATAAATTTACAAAACTAAAAAATATTAATAAAGCACTGGAATTTTATGTAACTATTAAACCATTCCACGATAATATTATTTAGCTAAAAGTATGTTACAAAGTTCAAACTTAGCTAATAGTGAGTGGATTACCCACAAAAAACTAAAAAGAAGAAAAAAAGAGTAACAAGCTGGGAGGTAAGAATTTTTTTTGGGGGAAATAAATGACAATCCAAGAATGGTTCCATAAACATGAGTTTGGTGAAGCAAACCCATGGCAAAAAAGGAGAGATTATTGGAATTGTAATAATTCCAAGAAAAACACCACTCTCTTCATAATTCATCATTATTTTCATTCCCTCTTAATTCTTTAAAATGAAAAAAGTAATTCACCCATAATAGACAAAATGTTTATGTGCTATTTTCATTGATGTGCTCATTGTCAAAGTATCCTTTGCTTCTTGATCATCATCATCATCATCTCCATGAGCTCCCCTCTTCATTCACAAATCTGCAAAGCAATGGACATACCACCAATTAGTCGCATTCCTATCTCACTCCTTTAAATTGTATTTGAAAATTTTGAAAGTTAGAAATACGGGTTTAACCCACCTTAATTTTTAATAATATCATTGCCTTATTCCGAAGACTGTTAAATCTCTAGAACAATATCTGCAATGAAAATAAAATATTTGAATAATAATTATAGAGAATATGATCGAATGAAAAATTTATGTGAGATTAAGAATATGACGATAAGTAGGCTTACAGTCAGAATCAGTTTTGACCCATTTTGATCCATCGGAGGCTGTTTTATGCCGCCTTTGTTCATCTTCTTCTTGCTGTTGATCTCCTCTGTGTAGTTGTAATTTGTCACCAATGTATATTTTCATTGAAGAGGCTCTCGAGGCACAGTTTTGAGAGCTCATTTTCTTGTGCAACATGGTCCTAAGAAGCTGGGCTCAAAGAAATATTTGTTTGTTAGAAATTTTGGGCCCAAATCATGAATCCATCAAGCTTTGTCATGTATTTATGGTTTCTATTGCTGTAGGCCCACCAGACCAGTACTACTAATATCTCATTAGCTCATTAAAGATTGCAAATCAGCCCCTAGAGATTGACTAACATAGAATGATGAGATTTTGATATCACTATGTTGCATATTTAAGATAGTTTCAAGATCTTATAAGTTAATAACATCATAAATAAATTTTAAGATAAAATCTCAATGAGTTTGACCAAATTTATGTAATCATTTGAGAAGAGACAGGAGGTAAGGAAAGCAAAAACATGTGATTTAGGAGCATACCTTCTCCATTCTTGATTCAGCTAGAGTATCTCTTAAGCTCGGTTGAGGAGCAAATCCGCTCGAACAAACAAACATCTTTTTTAGGAGGAAAGAAATGGATTTCTTCCCAATAGCCTTCTCTTTCTTCTTGGCTCGAATATCTTTGCATCTACCAAGTATGACACTGATCGTTCTCTCAATATCATACTCCTCTTTATTGTGTTCCTCAAACGACTCGTTAAGACTGCTGGCAACTCCCGTGCTAAGCCTCCTGTCGACTTCCAAACTCGATGGGCAGTTTAGAAATCTGTCCAGTGGCAAGTTAGCAACAAGCTCCTTCTCCTTATCCGAGTTTGCCTTTTTGGTCAACAACTTCGTCAGCTCCTTTTGCAGCTTCCCGATCTCTTCGGGTGTGAAATCTTGAAAATCATCAGGCGATGACATTGGATCTTCTTCATTTTGGTGGTGTTCGAGTTGTTGATCCTCTTCTGCTTCGACGACTCGTTGGATTTCGGTGGTATTGTTGTTGTTGTTGTTGCCAAATGTCCCTATGGCTAATAATCCATGTGGCCAATCACTGAATTCTTCCCTAGACTCTTGCGTTTGGTATCCTGCAGTACCATATGTACATGTACCACGAAATATTAGCCAGTGGTTAAATGAGAGGATCAAAAGTAAACTAATGACTACTCGTGGGGTTTGTGGGTGAGATGTGCAAAGTGTGGGGGCTAATTGATAAATAACCTTTCGTCGTTTATGCAGCTTTTTGTGATGATTATACCTTTGGATTTCAAGACACTTTCGGTTCCTCACGTGGGATTTATTCTAGGATCGCCAGCATATCTCATGATCCCAAAAAGCGTTTAGTACTAATATTGACACTTTTGCCATGCATGATGTATGAGTATGTCAAACTCAGGAACTTTTTTTCTCATAAAATTTTATAAACGAAAGTACATTATAAATAAAATAACAGAGATCATATTATTTGTCACAATATGAGAGATTTCATTAGAGTAGTTGTTCTTAACATCTTCCAAGGAGAATGAAGAATGAACTATCACACAATTCTTCTCTTCATTCTTATATTGAAGTCTCGACATCGAGTGGCATGACAATGGGAAACACATAAGAATAAGATAGTTTAGACTAACGGGACAGAAAGATGCATCAAAATGGAAGAACGAAAAGAAAAACTTACGCGTAGATGAACCAACTGATGATGATGTGGTCGCTTTTTTATTAATAATAGTGTTGTTGTTATTGCTGCCTTGTTTGGCACTTAACTTGTTTTGCATCCAACCAAAGAACTGCTAGGAACAACAAAATCCATTTCATTGGTTAGAGGTGCACATAAACCTTAACTACAAAAGCCACTCTCCCAAATGGGGAACCAACCAACAAAGAATGAACATAAAACTCTCACCTTCATTTTGAGCTACCACACCAGTGTAAGGGTATTGAACTATTGATGATATGTGGTATTAGGAGCTACAAGATTAGTATAAGAAGAAGAAAGAATGGTATGGATGGTATGTGGTATAAGGAGCTACTAGATGAGTGTAAGAAGAGAAAGAATGGTATTGATGGTATGTGTGGTATAAGGGGAAGAGAGAAGAGCAGGAATGAGAGAAGTGGCAAAGAGGTAAACTTGGTTGGTGTTTACTTAAAAGAATGAAGTCACTTGCTACCAAATTGGCTGGCCTTGGAAGAATCAAAAGGAAAGTAGTGAAGAAAAATGAGAGAGATGCATGGAATTGGAGCTAGGTGAGAGCAACAGGGTTGATGAATTTCATGGCAAATTGCAAAGAGGGCTTCAAGTTCCCACACTCAAGCTAAGCTAGAGAGAGAGAGAGAGAGAGAGAGAGAGAGTCCTCTCTTAAGCTAGCTAGCAAGCTCTTCTGAGTTTCCTTTAATGGCTACCCTTTTCCCACCTTCACATTAAGTATTCAGAGAATTGAATCTATTCCTTCCTATTTTTGGCCCTTTCTTCACTTTCCACTTTCCTCTCTACTTCTTCTCTCTTGTCTTCTTCCCTTCTTATACAACTAATAGTATACTCATAGCCCACTACGGGCACCACAAAACATTCTGTTGAAATAATTCTATTCAATTCAACCCTCCACATCATCTTGTTTAGTATAATAGTTTTAATGTTGAGCTAATTCTCAATTTTCAAGAATAGGGTTCTTATTATATTGCATGTGGGATATTCAGGAATGTACATCTATGATTTGTTTGATTCTTGTGCTTTTGGGATTAATCTCCATACCACCTTTTTCAATTCAATGATCCAACGACAAATGGGTTGACACGCCCAAACCCAATTTAATGAAAACTAAATTATATATGCTCTAAACTTCAATCAAATACAATGTTACTTGGTACATTCTCAGCTCTAGCTTGGATGAGATGGTTTGCAGTCGCGATGTTCAAAGTGTACTCTAGCGGCAGTAATCCTCACTCGACATTTGATCTTATGTTATAATACGCGAATCATATGTTAAATAAATATGGGATGGTATAGGTTATCGGCCTCCTCCAGAGTACTCGAGTTTCAATTATGATTGGAACACGGAAAACGTTATTGAATTTGTCCTAGTTACTCTTCGGGGCGGAAGATCTTCTCAAACGAGGAAAACAATTCAATGACTTCAAAAGAGTTGAACGAGCAGCCATATGCGGTGAAATCTCCTGTACGGTTATGTAGAGTGGGCTGAACGGATGATTTTATATGTCAATTTTCCGCTGTCACTCCAAAAAACCAACTCTCCCTCACGATAAAGTTGCCACCGAAATGAGATTGTTGATTAGCCACAAAATTACATTGGCGTGAAGGAATTGACCCTGCAGGGTATGGAATATTATTACACTAGTTCAGCTGGAAAATGTAACAAAAACAATGTACTTAATTAATTACATACTTAAGGTACAGATTAACACATGTAGATGGAGGGTCTTCATGATCTGATTTGCAGGGCATGGCTGGGTTATTGGGGCCCGACCAGACAAATTACTCGAACAACAGAATGAATTGATTTATTTGTGGAGAGCTGTAGGGGACAATAATTAAGGTCATGTGTCTGTGTGTGAAAAAAGAAAAAAAGGATCGAAAGTAGCCAACAGAAAGAGGAGAATGGGCATATAGGCCAAAAGAAATCAAACATGATATTACAAATCTGGCTGGTATGATTCACTGTTCACCTGCCCAATCCTTCTTGGTAAGTTGTCAAGCACTCAACCGAAAGTTCATATCATATGGAATCTCCTTGGTGTTTCTTTTCACTCTAAGTATGAGTAGTTGATTGTAACTCTAAATGATAATCATGCTATTGGATTCTTAGTGTTATTTACCGTCCTCGTTAACCCTACGTATACAAATTATTAATTTTGTGGTAGTATACTTAGCTAGTCGTGTATCAGCTATATTAATGGATAACCACAACTTAATAAATATTAGGAAATTCCTACAATATTTTGAAGTTATTGTAATTTGATGTTTTTGACATGTTATAACAGGTTTCACAAATTGCATTACGTAAAATACAATAGACATTACGTAATGTGTGTTTATCTTACGTAATAGTTGAAAAATGTCATTACAAAAACCTCATTTCAACTTTTGATGTTTTTACCGCTAACCAATCACTTATTAGTGGCTGATACAATCGGCCTAAAATATTATTAGTGGCTAATAACTAGATCTCTTCTCTTTCAACAATGGCAGCTGAAGCTCAAAGGCAGGCACCTGATTCTCACGTGCTCATGTTACCAAGAAAATGGGGCCTATTATATGCACACACCGTCACAAAACAAGAGCAACAATCTACAAACAAATACTGAGGCCACGACAGTTGTCCTCTGTTCCAGACAAAACCATTGGCCATGATCTATTGTCGGACCAACACGTGGCTCAAAGGGGTCGGTTGACTTTTCCCTTCTCCCATTCACCCAAGATTAATGAATGTGATTTGATTAGTTAAATGTTTAAACTAGTTATGTTAAGTACTAATCCCCATCCCCAATTGGTAAACAGTGCTTTCATGTGATTGGTTTATCGATCGGCAAAGCTGATTGTGTAGAAGAAGAGTATAGAAAGAACGGCCATGCATGGAGTTTCTAGCTAGCTCATTCGATTAAACAAGACAGTTAAGTATGTGGTTTATATGGTCTTTACGTCGATGATTACCATTAAAATTATGCCGTCTATACACGTCGATGATTACCATTATCTTAAACCTAATTTAGATCATTAAATAATTTTCCTTAATTACCGAGAAACAATATAATGCAACGCCTTACGTACGGTTCACATGAACTTGTTTTGAGTGGTTGGTTTCGGCCATGCATGCATTTATATATATATATCCGTGCGCCAGATCATTATTGCCGAGTAGGTTAGTGAAGTTAGAGCTGTAATTTGATTTGTTAATGACGTTAGTAATTAATAAAACCATATTTATCGAATTACATGATGTTCTTAGTTTCAATTCAATTTAGAGTATCACTCGATCGGCCACCCTCAGTTACCATTGGAAGACACAAGCTTTATAGATTCAAAATCCCATGGCCAAAAGAATAAGTTTTGAATACGGATTAGACTATCTTGGTATGCACAAGATGGCTAGAATGTTCGTGTTACATAGATATCATACATAGTCTGCTGAACAATTGTGTTAGATATTCATCAATAACATTCTACTTTCAAGTTACTCTATTTTCGAACATATTTAATTTTTTTCTCTCATTCGCACATTCAGATTATAAGTTCTCTAGACACCCATAAGAGCCACGAGTGATAATTCAAACTCATGTTTTGATGAGGAAGAAACTTTGATTTGGACTTCGCAAATCGCAACTATCCGTTGTGGTACACTTACTTAATTAGTGATCAACCACCAACATCATGCCCATTTCTAGCAACAACAACAAGAAAAAGCCCTACAAATAGGCATCACCCATTGCAACAAATTAAGAGCTAGAAAACGTCACCCAAGTCGTCATTTACGTGCATAGAACCCCATTCCATGCTAGCTTTTTCACACGTAAAATAAAAGGCTGATTTGTGAGAGACAAGGAAGGAAGAAAGTCGTATGGATCGATCGTCTCCTCGAGATTCATATATACGCGAAGAAAGATATCGGGGGAAAGGAGAGTTCTTCTACGAGGATTGCTGCCACCAAGGTGAAGAAAAGAAAAGAAAAGAAAAGAAAAGAATGGGCCATGTGAAGGGCACATTACATTATGGTAACTACTAGATGTCTAGGGTTCATAAACTTAACCCTAAACGGCAAATCTTACCCTTTCTGGAATGTTAGATGCACCTTTCCCCATCTAATTAACAAACACATTAACTAATCTTTCTCTGTGATATTGTGGGAAAAGCTATGGTCCATGAAACCATGCAATTAGAGGGTGGGGGCCATCATAGTTTGACTAACAATTCTCACCTTTCATTGGATCTCACCTATGGATATGCATTAAGATTGGGGTCAATTACATAATCGGTCATTGAAGTCTGGAGTTACAAACAAATTGTCACAAAACATTCACCTTTAAGTTTGTCGTGGTCTAGAATAACCAATATAACAGTCACTTCGTTCATCTACGTTACTATCGTGCAAACTCTTTAATAATTGGCTATCAAGCCGGGGACAATGAGCGATCGATTGACATGATGTTAGATGATGTGAGTTGAAATTTAGTCGTACTTAAATCAGACATATGAATTAGTTATTCTTTGAAAAAAATCACACGGAGGAAGGGATTAAGGTGACATGAAG